GGCAGCCAGTCCAAGGCAGGTGGCGGTGACTGTGTTGTGGGTAACTGGTCTGAAGCGGGTAGCCGGAGAGCTCTACAAACAATCATCCAGCAGTGTCCGGCCGGACAGGTGGGCAGTCGTTTTCTCGGAAGAAAGGTAGGGAAATGGAGTTAGTTTAGTTCTGTATGGGTGTATGTATAGTAGTATGTAAAACATTTCCAGAGTGTGGCTAACGACTCCGGCAGATCTGACTATAACAGCTTAACTAAAAGGATAGAACCAAAAGGGCACACAGACACGGGAGCACCCTGAAACAATTTGGCATCCCTCCGCTCCACCGTCCACAAACCTGAGTGTTCGCGTGCGAGCGGCGGGACGACAGCACCAGTCTCAGTTTACTATAATTCCCTGCGTCCATGGACCCCTGGATCTGCTGCCTTTATCTAAGGGGGGACATTAACTACCAAAAGCTAAAACTAAACAAGTGAGTTTTCAGCCTAGATTTGAATATTGCGACTGAGTCTGAGTCCCGAACATTTTCTGGAAGATCATTCCAGAGTTTGGGGGCTTTATAAGAAAAGGCTCTTCCCCCAGATGAAACCTTCTGAATTCTGGGAACTATTAAAAAGCCAGCACTCTGTGATCTGAGTAATCGTGGTGGCTCGTAATGGGAAATAAGGTCTTGCAGGTACTCAGGAGCGAGCCCATGTAGGGCTTTATATGTCAATAAAAGAATTTTGTAATCTATACGGAATTTAACAGGCAGCCAATGGAGTGATGATAGAACTGGACTGATATGATCAAATTTTCTAGTTTTAGTGAGAACCCTGGCTGCAGCATTTTGTACTAGTTGAAGTTTACTTAAATTCCTGCTGGTGCATCCTGACAGTAATGCGTTACAGTAATCTAGCCTTGAGGTAATAAAGGCATGTACTAATGTTTCTGCATCGTGCAGCGGTAAGGCATTTCTTATTCTGGCGATATTGCGAAGATGTACAAAAGCTGTCCTAGTGATACTGCCTATGTGTTGATTGAATGATAAATCTGGATCGAGTATTACACCAAGATTTTTTGCTGCTGAACCTGGTATAACTGGAAAGTCAGCGAGATTTAAAGTTAAATCTGATAATTTATTTCTTGCCACTTTTGGACCCAGAAGGAGAACCTCTGTTTTGTTATATGGTTTCAGGCCCTGGATGACATACAATGTCCTAAAAAAGTATCTTTTTCTGTACTGTTGTCCAATTTGTCTGATGCTAACTGGTGGGATATAAGCTTCCATTACTTGTTAGCGACATTAGCTTCATACCTCCAGTTCAAAACTAAAGAAACAAACTTCAGACAACGAATCGTGGCTGAATGAGTATCATCACAATTGAATCTTATTGCATGTATCAGAGCTTCCTCCCACGGCCTCAAGAATAAACGCAATGTCATTTCTGTCACTGCTGTTTGTGTTAGAGACCAGATGACTGTCTGACGGGCACTAGCTGAAGTCCAGGCTACAATAAGAAAAACAAGGTCAGAGAGCAATTACGTGATTTCGGAGCCACTGAGTGGGAATTACAGATGATTATGTGGGGGAGGTTTAAAGCTTAGCCTCGACGTTAAAGCACAACTGGATATTAATGCGCTTCTTAAAGGCCACCGAGCAAAACCCACCGCAGCTCGCTGTGCCTATTACATGTTGAACACTTGGTGTGCTTTAATGACAAAGTTGAACTGAATTGAGCCTGTGATTCTCAGACAGTGGAGTCTATGAGACAATAACTAAATTGGATGCTAATTTCAGTATTTAGTGTGCTCTACTTTTCCCTTTGTTTGACTTGCTTTCAGGTTATTTCAGTATATTTTTCCACATTTCCAAAGTCCAGTCTTAGACGTTTTCTGCTTCTCACAAACCAAGTAATCCTAAACCCTTCTGGATGCTCTAGATAAGCCACTGACTGTGAATACAAGCAGTAGTCCAACCAGGTTTTGGTTAGTTGTTAGGAATGGAAAACAGCTCTATGGCAGGACTCTTTACTTAAAATGCTACATACAAGGTAAAACATATGTTAATGTCTGTTACATATTACATTATTTACACAAATAAGACATATGGAATGTCTTTTATAAGCATCAAATTTCCATGTTTAATCTAGCACAGGCAAAAAATGTTTATCCCAATCACAGTTATCTTAACGCTAACATACTAATAGAATGCCATAGGGGTGCTAGCAGAAATAAGCATCATTATAGAAGTGTTGTTTCGCTAGTTTTGACATTTATTGGCTGAACTGAAGGCCAAGCTCTAATAATCCTAGTTTGCCAGTGGTTTAGCATTAAATGTTTATCTTTTGTCTATAATCTGGTACAGGTGTCTATATGTCCTGAACCATTAAAGATCAAAAACAGTAAGTTGGATTACAAGGTTTTGCACTCTAAGTTAGAAATATAACAATAATTGTACAATAGAACACACATCTGCAGATTCCTAGGAACTAAAAAATGCACGTCTGTAATATTTTTAGTTCATTTTTATTCAATAGAATCATGCTTATATTTAATCTCTGCAAGGATTACAGTACTGCTGTTGTTTCATTGTTAAGTTATAGAGGGAAACAAATGATTACATTTTTCAAACGCTGAGCCATTCAGGAATTACTTTTCTCCATGGTATCTAGACAGATATAGCTAAGCAAACTGTCCTACTAGTTAGGACTTCAGGAGCTGAAGAGAAGGCCTAACCGGTTAGATTAACCATCAGCATTATTATTAAGTGACAAAGGGACCAATTTTGTGCAAAAAAGGTCACTTCTGGACGTTCTAGATATGTCACTGACTGTAAATATGAGCGGCAGCCTAATTAGTGGGTTGTCAGAAATGGAAAACAGTGATGGGAGGTCTATATTATAGCTTAGTACTGAAAGAGTCACTGTGAAACTACAAGTTAAAATATATGCTATATGTCTGTCACAAGCTTCAAGTAAAACATGGTATGTCTTTTAGAAGATTGGTATGTCTGTATTTAACCTACATTGACTAAAAAATCTTCATGTGAATTGCTGTCAGCTTAGCGTAAACAAACTAATAGAATTCCTTAGGGATGCTAGCAGCAATTAACATTATCATAAAGGTGGGTTTTTGACATTTATGGCTCAAATTTAAGGCCTGGCTCCAATAGTCACAACTCAGCACTGCCTATTAGCCTACCTCCTTTTTCTGCATAGGAATATAAAAAAGTCCCTAATTAATAACAGCTAGTTCCATATGTTTTATTACAGATTTTTCTGATGCCAGTGGTGGAGCTAGAACTTTTAGGATGGGGTGGGCAGATAAGACTTTGTTGGGGTGGCACACTGCAAGGAAAAAAATGAATTAAAGTGGCATTTCTGTATTAAAATCATATTAAAATATTGTGTTGGTTTTGCTCTGTGTATAATTAAGGCCCAATCCCATTTCACCACTCACCCCTACTACTTAGCCCTACCCTTCCATTCTGCGCGTTCATGTCTAGGTGTAGGGTGTGTTTTTGTTGAAATAGAGGGGTAGGATGAAGTGTTAGGGCTACATGGGCCTCCAAACAGAGGTTTTTCAGAGACACACGGCAAGACGGAGCACAAGCAACCAAAGAAACCCACAAACGTGAGAATTTTCTCCAAAAAAATTACGATTATCATTGTATTATCTTAGTTTAATGTCATTTCAATGTATTATGGTCCTTTTCTTCATAACAAGCATAAAAATCACTAGTAGTGCTGATGTCTCTGTAGCTAGCTAAATTTCCCGTTCCACCTTAAATGGTGCAGCAGTTACATTCTGTCAGCAGTCAAAACTGCTGCTGCATTTAAGGTGGAACTGAAAAATTTTAACAAGAAGCTGGCGAATATCTGGCTTTAGCTTCACATCACTGAAGAATTAGGGGTGGGCGATAATAAATCATTTTAGTCATTCATGAGGAAATAATGTATTTAAATCAGGTAAATTAAATTAAAATCACCTTTTTCAGTGCATGATATTAACTTCAAGAAAAACATTTAATATAGAGAGAACATAGATGCTACACCTGAGTCTAATGATGAGAGAGGCAGCCAGACAGCACACTAAAATACAGCCATCAGACACTTATAACTGGTTGGTAGCTATCCTGATGGCAGATTTTCACCATATAACATAATTAAGGCTTTAGTGATTATGCCTTACTGATACTTTCCATAACTTGCCACCCCTTGCTGTCCTTAAGTAAGAGTAAACAAGGTCCAATCAGGTCCAAAACCTTCTTAAGGAGTTTCTTATAGAAATGCAGGTAAACTTCTTAGTCTGTTAAGCAACTATTAGCATAGAAACTGAAGTTTTTAAGGCTCTGTTCTTCTCTTTTTGGAACATTTTGGTCTAAATTAAAACAATAAAGATGCAAAATGAGAGGTGAGCAACAGTAAAGCAGAACAAGAGCCAACTCAACAGAGTGATATTAACCCCCCAAAAAAGCAATGTTAATGATTAAAACGGATCAAATCTATCAAAACAGTCCTTATTGAATGGAATAAAGGTACTAGTTACTAGTTACTGCATTTGCAGTTGTAAAAGGAAAGAAATCATTTGAACCAAATGCACAAACTAGTCATTTATTTCGTCGAAAAGTGGGTTTGTTGATGTTGCATCACATTGCTTCGCTGCAGACAGAGATTGATCAGATCTTGACATTCAGCATTAACACAGATAAAGTGCTTCGTAAATGTGTGCTTTATTTCCAATAAAAATAAATAGCCTGTTCTGATTTTTAGCTTAACTTTGTGGACGATGCTGGACTCTAGTCGCCGTCTCCTTCCCCGAGTAGCATCACATAAAAATAGTTACGAATAAAACATTTAAAAATGAAAACAAATAGACACAAACAAAAGCATCTCTGATGAGGACAGAGCAGGGACACTGGCGCTGATGTTCAAAAGAGAGGTCCATATTGTTTAGGCCAAGAGCACCAGTGGTCCGCGAAGCCCTCCTCCATCCCCTCAGACTGTACAGCATGATTAAGATTGTTTTCAGTTCTCGTTCTCTGAGTCGCTGTTGGGCTCAGTGTGGATCGGCGATGTTTTCAAAGTGCTCTTGGTCTCCTGCTTGGCCGTGCTGGACAAATCTATGGCCATGTCCTCCGGGTCGTCAACTGCAGTAGGACCTCCTGACCACAAGAGGTCGCTGTTCTTCCCTTTCACGTCTTCTGAGTACGAGTCGGAACGTGTGGAATCGGGTGTGCCGGGGGACTTCTTGGTCATTTCTAAGGACTTTTTGTGCATTCCTGGTTCATGAGAAGAAGAATACAGGAGTTTAGAACTCAAAACTACTGACCAATAGAGCTTGAAATGTTTAAATTGTCCATCATTGTTTAACCCATTAAATGCCAAGGAACTGTCAGCAGGTCCAGACTAGACTCTTGTAACTACATACTTTAAATGTTAATTTAGCAGATAATGGATAATTCATAATAGTTAACGGAAAATTCAGGGGAATTACTGAATAATTCATAGTGATAACTGAATAATTCATAAGAGTTAGGGAATATTCATAGTAGTAACTGAATAATTCATAGCAGTTACTGAAAAAATCATAATAGTTACTGAATTATTCAAGTGGTAACTAAATAATTTATAGTAGTAACTGAATAATTTATAGCAGTTACTGAATAATTTATAGCAGTTACTGAATAATTCATGGTAGTTACTGAATAATTTATAGCAGTTGCTGAATAATTAATAGTAGTTGCTGAATAATTCATAGTGGTAACTGAATGATTTGTAGCAGCTACTGAAAGTTTAAACATAAAAGTGCAAAGAAGAGCACTGCCATGATGTAAAGGTTCTATACCACTGTACATTCTATACATCCTATACTATGTTCAGTCTAGTTTAGTGGTCAGCAGCTCTGTTCCTGGCACAGTACTTCATTTCACAAGACGACTCAGCTATGTATTCAAGTGATCAAATACATATTTGAGTTTTGATAGAATAAGTTAGACCACCTGCTGGCTCACCTAGCAGCCAGGGAGCGCAGGAGCTCATCATGCCGTTCTTGGCGGAGTTGATGATGGACTCTGGTAGAGGGATGGAGTGACGGACCATGGCGCCGTAGAGTCCGTACTCGGCCATCACGCTGCTGCGGCCCCAGCACTTTTCCCGCTTCCTCCACTTAGCCCGTCGGTTCTGGAACCACACCTGGAGAAAGCAAGCATGTGATTTAGTGTCTGTGTTCACAGTGTGATCATAGTGTGCTCACTGAATGTTCATAGTGTGCTCACTGAGTGCTCAGAGAGTACTCACTGAGTGCTCATAGTGTGCTCATTGAGTGCTCATAGTGTGCTTATTGAGCGCCCGTAGTGTGCTTACTGAGCGCCCATAGTGTGCTCACTGAGTGCTCATAGTGTGCTCACTGAGTGCTCATAGTGTGCTCATTGACTACTCATAATATACTACCTGACTACTCATAGTGTGCTTATTTAGCACCCATAGTGTGCTTACTGAGTGTTCTTAGTGTGCTCACTGAGTGCTCATAGTGTGCTCACTAAGTTCTCATAGTGTGCTCACTGAGTGCTCATAGTATGCTCATTGAGTGCTCATAGTGTGCTACCTGACTGTTCATAGTGTGCTCCCTGAGTGCTCATCGTGTGCTCACTAAGTGCTCATAGTGTGCTCACTGAGTGTTCATTGAGTGCAGTATTCTTAGTGTGCTCATAGTGTGCTCACTGGGTGCTCACTGTGTGCTCACTAGGTTCCTATAGTGTGCTCAGTGAGTTCTCCTAATGCGCTCATGAAGTGCTCATAATGTGCTCATGAACTGCTTATAATGTGTTCAGTCTCCTAGACTGCTTATTGAGTGTACATAAGTGCTCAGTGTGTGCTCATAGAGTGCTCATAGTGTGCTCATTGAGTGCTCACTGAGTGTGCATAGTGCACTTGTTGAATACTCATAGTCCACTCATGGTGAGGTCCTTGTGCGCTCACTGAGTGCTCAGTAAGTGCTTTAAAGCACTTTTAGGGTGCTCACATAATAAGAAAACTGACCTGTATTCTGTCCTCTGGTAACTCTGTCTTCATGGCCAGCATTTCCCGCGCATAAACGTCCGGATAGTGGGCTTCATTAAAGGCCTTCTCCAGCTCCTCCAGCTGGTGAGACGTGAACACTGTCCTGAAACCAGAGCGAGAGACAGTTAAGCTTCATCACAGTCATCACGGTGAGAAAGCTCTGACTGTGAACGAGCAGGTTTCTCTGCACCAGCCTCACCTGTGTCTCCTCTTCTTCCTCTTCTGTGAGCTGCCAGAGCTTTTCCCATCGTTACGGTCACCAGACAGACAGTCGTCATCTGAACAGAACCACGAAACGTCAATTCACAGCCCTTAAATATGGTTCTTCAAGGGTTCTTTAGTAAACATGAGTTCTATATGGAATCATTTGCATGCTTGCACGGTTCTTCACATGGTGAAATGGTTCCTTTAGACTGATGGAGAATGTGTTGGTTGTATGGTTCTATATAGCACCAAAAAGGGTTCTGCTATTGTTACGATGACAAGCTTGTGACAGTAGAAGAACCCTTTTTGGTGCTATATAGAACCTTTTTTCAAGAATGTTCTATACAAAACTCATGGTTCTAAATAGAACCATTGCCTTTACTAAAGAACCCTTGAAGAACCATGTTTTTTAAGAGTGTACATTTAATTAAAAAACTACAGTCAGGGTTCTTGTATGAAACCATCTAAGCTGATGGTTAAAAACAGTAGAACGTGCACTCGGTCTGTTTCGGAAAATGTTTAATTTAACATTAATATATTTAATAATTAATAAATATTTAATAACTAATAAATTCAGCCAAGTTTATGAACATGCAGTGAATTGAATGTATCCCGTAGTAAAAGCTGTGTAGTGGTCATTTCAGCACCAGTGCCTGTGGACAGCACCCGGACGCTAAAATGGGGCGGTTCACGTGAATGCGCGTTTAATATGCGAGAACGCGCCTCTAAGTTAAAGATAATCATTAAAATACCATCAAAGCGCGATGATACTATTCCTGTCAGTGATTGATATGATTGATTCAGTGTCTATCCGACTCCTTAGGAATCGATATATTCATCAGAGCCGATGTATCGTTCCACCCCTACACTTTAAAAAAGACTGTTCTTTAGTAAAGGCAATGGTGCTAATTAGAACCATTCTATATAGAACTATTTGATGCTTAAGGCATGGTGCAATTGTTCTTTAGATTCATGGAGACCTTTTTGAAAAGCACCAAAAAGGGTTCTTCCGTTGTTATATACCCTTTTTGGTGCTCTATAGAACCTTTTTCAAAACGGTTCTGTATAGAACCACATACAACACGTTCTCCGTCAATCTGAAGACGCATGTCACCGTGCAAAGAACGATTTCAGCATGAACTCATGGTTCTAAAGAGAACGATTCCCTTTACTAAAGAACCCTTGGAGAGCCGTCTTTTTAAACAGGGTTTCTGCTGGACCCGCTTTTCTGAGCGGTTTTATATTCGGTTTTAAAGCTGCAGTGTGAACAGCTGAGCTATAAAAACCACTTCAAACGTTTCTGTTCTCGCAGATTCTGAACACACAGTAGATCAGACTGTTAAAGCGCTCAGCGAAGAAGTGTTGATTTAAAGAGCCACAGACTGTAAAGTATCATCAGTCAGTTCGTTCAAACATTCAAACGAGTTGAAAATCTGATTAAAGAGTGATAAAATGAAAGTGATTCGAATAAGGTCAACACAGTCTTTAGGTAAACGGTTAGTTGTTTTATTTTTATTTACTATTATTTTATTGTTATTTCTTATTGTTATTTTTATAGATTTGTTTATTTCAATGAAACTGGTCATTTTATTTATGTATTTACTCTGTACCCAATATGCAACTCAACTGGGACATGTAAACCTTCTAAGTATATTTTATTTATTTTTTAGCCAAATTTATTTATTTATTTATTTATTTAATGTTTTATTTACTAAGATTTAATATTTAAAACACCACGTATTTTTATTTTTGTTTTATTTCATGCATGACTTAAATAATTACCCTTTTAATATAACTATATATATACAATTACCCTTTTAATATAACTATATATATATAATTACCCTTTTAATATAACTATATTATATATAATAATATTTAAATAAATTTTTAAAATACTTTAGTTACTGTGTGCTCTGCAATGCGTAAATATTTGTATATATTTTATTTATTTATTAATAAAATTAATTAATCATTTATTTTCATTCTATATTTATTTTCTCTGATTCAATTTTAAAAATGTAAAACTTTTTAACGAGGCTACATTTTTTATTTCGTGCATCACTTAAATATTTAAAACTTTTTAATATAATATAATATAATATAATATAATATATAATATAGTATAATATAATATAATAAAACATAATATAATATAATATGTTGTTATTTACGGCTGAACGGAAAACTTCGCGCGCGCTCTTACCGGAGAACTCCTCGCGCTGCTCGACGTAGGGCGGCTCGGCTCGCGCCTGCAGCAGAGGCACGTGAGCCGGTATGAAGCCGCGCGCGCTCTGCTGCTGGTGCTGCTGCTGCTGCTGTTGCGCCGCGAGGCTGCACAGGAAGCCCAGACCGAGCGGGAACGGGAACGCGCCCACCGCGCCCACGCCGCCGCCCGGGCACGCGCCTGCCACCGCGCTCGGGCACGCGCCCCCGATCCCGCCGCCGCCGCCGCTCGCGCCGTCCGCGTCCAGCCCCAGCAAGTCCGTGATGGCGAAACCTTTCGCGCGCAGCCCTCCGGGCCCGTGCGTTCGCGTCTTCTCCATTATCCGCTCCTGTGTGCGCGCGCTCTGCTGTCTCTCACACTTAGGGGCGGCCCGGGCCAGGGGGGCTCAATATATACCCCCCCACCAGAGGGACAGCAGCCAATCAGAGACCAGCATTTATTTATTTATTTATTTACTTACTTATTTATTTATTTCTTCAATCCCGCCGGATTAATTGCCACCAATTTCTGCTGTAAATCCGATAAAGATTTTCTC